TTCAGCGTTAGAGTAAGCAGTCCCAGGCATTCTTTTTGTATATATATATTTTTATTGAAGTAGAGTTAGTTTACAACATTGTGTCAATTTCTGGTGTACAGCATAATGCTTCACTTGTACATGAACATACATATATTCGTTTGCATCTTTTTCACCATAAGTTACTACAAGATATTGAATATAGTTAGTTCCCTGTGCTGTACAGTATGAACTTGTTGTTTATCTATTTTGTATATAGTAGTTAGTATCTGCAAATCTCGAGCTCCCAGTTTATCCCTCCAGCCCCCTCTTCCCGCCCCCGTCATTCTTTTTAGCAGAAGTTGGCTTCCTTGTTTGTGATGCTGTGCTACCCAAAGACAGAGAAGCGATGATGGTGCAGTTGTGGAGGGCGGGTGGATGGGCGGGCCGCCAGCCTATCTCAACCTTTGCCATTACATTAAAATGTAAATGAAAATACAAGAGGGTTCAGCACAGTCTGCTCTTGTCCATTTCAGGTTTGCACTTTGATCTTGGAAATGACTGTTCTCTGATTTTGTTGTTAGTATTTCGAGGCAGGCTTTGAAGAATCAATAATACGAAACATCTGCAAAAAGACTTGTATCCTGGTCAATGATCATTCCAGGCTTTGGGATCAAAGGCTGATATGAGATCAATTAATAACCCGAAAACCTCTATTCTTTAAAAAAAAAACTGTTTTTTTCTTTTTCAGTAAGGAGCCACAGAATATGGCAGAAATGAGAAAAATGGGAGAGTTGTACTAAAAACCTTTTGATATTCATGGAAGATGTTTAGTTTTTAGAAGTCCTGCAGATTTTAGAAGAAAGCTGGCATAGCACTTTGAAAGGGTGTCCAGGAGACAAATGGGTCTATAAATTTGCAGAGAAAGAGAGAATTTTTCTTTCCAAGTATTGGATGGATTGAAATTTTCCACTCTAACGGTGCCCTGTGTTGAAGTTAAGGTAGTTTGGCGAGGTTCCGAGCACGCGGCTCAGCTTGGGCTTGAAACTTTTCTGGCTGGAGAGCTCTTTTTCTTGGGATCTCTTCCAGTTTCCAGTGATAGATCAGTTATTTTAAATAATAATGAACCCTTTTGAGGCTAAGTACCAGGCGCACAGAATGACTTAGCATTACCTTCTTTCATCTGTATTCCAAGTCTGTGAAAGAGGTGCTATTTTTTTAATCCCTATTTTACAAATTAAAAACAAAAATTCCCACTAAGGCTTGGGTTTAGGAACTTTCGCTTCTGTTCAGAGGTAGTAAGAGCCTATATTGAAGTATTGATGCTGGAACACCGATGTGCCAAAATCCCACTCTCAAAATAGTATCAGCCTCCCGCTGCTTCCCAACTGAAAACGGCTTCAGGGTTCACAGCACCAGGCAGGGAGAATCCAGGCCTCTTACACCTTACGAAAGATGATATAGGCTATTCACGTTTATGAAAAACTTACAAATGCCATCAATTATGCATAAATTATGCTAATATCCAGCAGTTCAGAAATACGTTATAACATTAGAAAAAAGAAAACTACGTGGGTAGGTTACCCTTGCTCTTCCAAAATAAGTCTCCTGACATGCCTGATAAAGAATGAACCTAAAAATTTCAATAATGAAATTCATTTTCAGTCCGTGGGAAGCTTAACTTTGATGTTCCACACTGAATATGTTTTAGCTTTACCTGCATGCTAATCAGAAAGTGTGGGGCCTTCGCAGGGCTGCAGGTCTCTTTCCAATGACGGTCACAGGAGGGGAAAGGCCGCCACCAGAAGGGGAACCTTTCCTGCACCCCTATGTGGACTGGAGGAGAGGTGGACGCAGGGCTGTGCTGTCCCCGCGACACCCCGATGAGCCCTTCTGGTTGAGAGAAGTTAAGGGAAATCAGATGTAGTGCCTGAGAAAAGCAAGAGGGATTTGGAAACTTTTGGCAGCCCTGGGAGGTGGGGAGAGAGGAAAAGGAGGAAGGAGCAGTCACATGTGGGGTGCAGGGGAGGGAGCCATGGCCCGAGACATGAGTGAGTGGCACGTAGAAATCTTTTAATGGATAGTTAGGGGACACTTTTTCATTTTTAGTATGTTTTTTTATGCTAGTTTGAGAATTCCTTCTTTTTTATTTAATTTTATTTTATTGAGTTATAGTCAGTTTACAGTGTTGTGTCAATTTCCAGCGTAGAGCACAACTTTTCAGTCATACATGAACGTACATATATTCATTGCCACAATCGTTTTTGCCATGAGCTACCACAAGATCTTGTATGTATTTCCCTGTGCTACACAGTATAGACTTGTTTATCTATTCTACATATACTTGTCAGTATCTACAAATTTCGAACTCCCAGTCTGTCGCTTCCCATACCCCCTGCCCCCTGGCAACCACAGGTTTGTATTCTATGTCTATGAGTCTGTTTCTGTTTTATATTTAAGTTCATTTGTCTTCTTCTTCTTTCTTTTTTTTTTTAGATTCCACATATGAGTAACATGATATTTTTCTTTCTCTTTCTGGCTTACTTCACTTAGAATGACATTCTCCAAGAACAGCCATGTTGCTGCAAATGGCATGATGTTGTCTTTTTATGGCTGAATAGTATTCCATCATATAGTATACCACAGCTTCTTTATTAATTTTTAGTATCTTAACTAAATGGGCATATACCGAGGATGATACTCAAAATACTTAACAACGCTTCCGCAAGGCTCTGAAGTGACCCTGGGCTTAACCAAGTGGGGGTGACACTGCAGACCAGGGCCTTGAGTGTATAACACGCCTTTAACCAAGTTATCAGGAGAGCTGACTGCACACCTAACACCTGTTAGAGACCCAGTGTGTTACAGCAGCCTGCGCCCCACAGTGACCTGTGTTAGAGACCCATATGTTTCAGCAAGAAAACAGCTCTCCGGCTTCTGAAGTAGTCCTGTTAATTTAGTCACATCTCAGGTTCTTAATGATCTCTACGAATGCTGGGGACCTCTGGTGCCGGTTAATCTAAAATAATCATAGCCATACATTTTCGTATAGTCAGTTTGTTCACTGTGTCAGAGGTGAGGTGGGAGAGGAGAATTCTCCAGAAGTCAAAATCACAAATAAACAGCTTTCAAGGATGTGGCTGTGGCTGTATTCATTTTAAATAACGTGAATTCAGGTTACTTACGGCGTTAAGTGTCCGCAGCGCGGGAGGCACTGACCCCGAGTGTTGCTCATTGCGTGCACAGGTGATCAAGGCAACAGTGTCTTCCCGACAACCCCAACACGGCGTGTCGTCCTCCCAGGGCTGTACACATTGTGTCTGAGGGGGGACAGGTGACGCTGTGGGGTGCCACAGCAAGCCAGGAGAACCCCTGAAGCTTTCTAGAGGGAAGAGCATTTGAGAAGGGCCTTGGGAGCAGCTAAAATCCCAACAGTGTGACAGGGAGCTGCTCTCGGTAGGTGAAGGCTTGGGCAAAGCAGACGCTGCGCTGCAAGGTCGCTAAGGCGGTGCGGCCTGGTGGGCAGTGCCTGGGCTTTGGGACTGGGCAAACCACGGTTTCCAGTCAGCTCAGCCTCTGACGCTTACTGGCCAAGGACCCAAGTGTAAAATGGGGGGAAAAAAAGCCTTCCTCACAGAACAGTTGTGAGTAACTGTTCCTGGCACATGAAGTGTTCAAAAAAAATGGTGCCTTTTCCCGTTTGCTAAAAACAAGGGGTCTTTCAGCTTCTCGGGAACAGAGAGTAGAAGAGACGTTTGATTTGGGGACTTTTGCCCCTAGACTCATTCTTGACCAAAGATAAGTTGAGTAAGTTAATGAGAAACCATTTGTTGCATTTTCAGTTAGTGTGCTAGTATTAGAAACCATATCTCACAGTTACACTGCTTTTTTGGAAATTATTTAGGACGTTCTGCACGCTAAGCAGCATGAACACATTGTCTGAACCGGTGGAGGTCTCCAAGTTAATATCGGGGGATTTCTGTGTGTTATTGATATTAAAGTGCCTTTTTCTTGGTTTTGGGGTAGTAATCTCTGTCCACTCCTAATTAAGTTCCTCACAGGTCTAAAGACATGGGGGAAAACGGGCAAGGCACAAAAAACATCTTCCCATTGCACAGGTTCTCCATCCCTCCCAGAAAACACCACCGTCCTGTTTTCTTCCTATTTTGCCTCCTGACCTCCCCCCACCCCGCCTCTTGCTGATCTTCCACTCTGTCCTTGTTGTGATGGGGGAATGTTTTCCTAAAAGTAGCAGTTATCGTAAAATTGGATTCCCCACCTGTCACTCCAGCTCCTTGACGCATGTTTTCAGCATGCTGCTGAAATTGGTCTGCGCTTCTCAGATCAAATAGAATTATCCTTTATTTAAACAGCTGTCCCCCATGGACAGTGTAGGTTATGAGACTTAATGCTGTTTAGCAGTTGAAATCATTCTTTCTTCTCGAATTGGAAATAAGAATCAGCAAAAAGTGCAGCACTCTCCCAGTCCCAGCGTAATTTCAGTCTGTCTATAGGGATGGTATTTTTGGTAGCTGGGAAATATTACGCGAGTACTGCTGCGTACCAGTTAGTGGTATTAAAATATATATTACTCACAGCTCTGTGCTTGGCTTAAAAAGTTTCCTTGGCAACATCATTTAACGTCTTACTGTTCTTTTCATGTTGCTAGTATAAATATCTAATATGTTTTTGTTCAAAACATCAATTAGACTTCAGTATAATCTTTATTAATACAGATCTGTTATTACAGGAAGACTGCTGAGCGCCGATAATTTGCACAGCAGGAACAATAAAATGTCTTCTTTCTGTTTGGTTCTATCCTGGAATGCTTGGCTGTGTGTTCTGTTCCAGAGCACACCAAAGGCTTCCACAGTACCTTTTACCATCAGAATGCAGTCTTTAAAGCTCTTAGAGGCAAAAGCATTATTTTCTTCAAAGGTAAACAACGCAGAAAGTCCCGAAATTGCAGATAGAGTCAAAATGTCCCATGGGAGTTGCAGATCTCCACTTTTAATCTCTTTAATTCTTTTTTCTCTGTGTAGCCAGAACTCCCCACTTCCTGCGGATTCAGAACGTGGAAGTCAATGCGGGCCAGTTTGCCACCTTCCAGTGCAGCGCGATCGGCAGGACCCTGGCCGGCGACAGGCTCTGGTTACAGGTACAGCGACTCGCGCTCACGGTTCAGCGAGAGCCTGCGGGCGGCGTGCGGGTCCCCCAGGCCGGGCGGGGCCCAGAGCCCAGTCAGCCAGAGCCCGCTGATGGGGGAGCGGCGATGTTAGGGGTTTCTCTGCCTCCTCTCCTCCTCCACTGCGAGTGGCCGGGCCGCCAAGGGCTCTGGACAGGCTAGTTACTGTACGTCGCCATTTCCCTTCTGCGTCTGCTCAGCCGTCTCGCCTGGAAGATGTTGCTGTCAGACTACTTTTCGAGCGGTATGTCAGAGTCCAAAACATAGGACCCTTCCCGCCCTCTTCGCTTGAGGAAAACTCAAAGAATCACACACACACATACACACACACATAGGTTTCTAGGCTGTTTCCTGATTTTCATGTCCACCAAGATAAGCCCAAACTTAGAAATTAATAGAATTACTTAAATGTCCATCTTTTAGTTTTGAGCATTGAAGTGGCCATTTTGTAGTGTGATCACTATTTGTGGGTCTTGTTTTCTTATTTTTCAAACTCCGTGTTTCGCACGGCCGGCAGTCTTGGGGCACATACAGGGTCTGGCGGGTTCTGGCAGAATGAGCGAGACTAGGTGACCCGTCCCTGCTATCCAGCGTGCCCCCCTTCTCAGCCTCTGGGCTCCGTCTCCCGTGTAGAATCCTCCAGTTTCATCCTGGTTTCTTCTCGTTGAGTATTCATCTTCAGACTGCTCGTTCTCCACCTTGACTAGGGTTCATTTTACCCCCTTTCCTTCCAGATCCGAGGGTGGGTTTGCTTTGGTTTGGTTTTGGTTGATTATTTACTTCCTTTAATTTGCTGCCGAGCTGCCTGGTGTTCTGACCCTTCCGCGCGTCTGACTGCACGTGTGGCTTCGGCTCCCAGCGCCTCCCTCGGCGTCCCGACCGTGGAGATGTGTCACATGCGCCTGGAGGTGTTCAGTTTGAAATCCCTCCTTCCCTTTCACCGTCACAACTGGAGTAAATGGTCCTTTTACCCCTCCATTTCTGGGGGACGTAGAAGACAGCCAGTGTGCTGTCCCGGGCTGCGTCAGTACTGGGTTGAGCAGCGGGGGAGCCTTCTGGAGGAGGCTTCTGAAATCCGGTGGGGCCTCCGCACACAGCGCTCTCCCCTTCTACCTCGATGTCGCTCTCTTTTCTTTCTCGCGTCCTGCTGTCCCTGTCTTCGGAACTTATTTTTTCATCCTGCATCCAGTTGTCTTAGCTCCCTGATGCTGGAGACTGAGAAGTATTTTCTCAGCCAGGGGGTGTTCGGTGTTCGGTTTGCTCAGGGTTGACCAGCCCTGGGAACCGAGGGGACAGCCGACTGCAGCGGGCATTTTCCCAGTGCGGTAACTGCCTCCTCAAAATGCAGCTACTCTTGTCTCTGATGTCTCTGGAAGTCTTAATTTTTCTGGGAAGAGTATTATTTTGCTTTTGGTATTTGTTTTAATGTTGAGAGAATACAATATAAAGTCTAAGCTGTGGCCTCAGCGGTCTTAGACATGCCTAAAAATTTGCAGGCAAGTTGAAAATACCATTTGCCTTTTTTTTTTAATTGAAGTCTAGTTGATTTGCAATGTTGTGTTAGTTTCTGGTGTACGGCACAGTGATTCAGTTATATATATATACACGCACACACTCTTTTTCAGATTCTTTTTCATTATAGGTTGTTACAAAATACTGCCTGCAGTTCCCTCTGCTGTACAGTTTGCTTTTTTCATTTGTTTGTTTCTGCAGACATCCTGGACTTCGGATGCTCCTGCTTAAACTCGAGCACTCCCTTGGGAACTGAGGTCTTTACCTGCTTCCTCTTACAATTGGGAGACTTTGTTTCAGAGACTGCATCACGCAGTGGGGAGAGAGCTGGCTACCACTCTGAGGGTAGCTGAAGGCAGAGCTCCCCGTCCTGATGCTACTACAGCACGATGTGGAGAGCTATAAAAAAAAAAGTCTGGTCTACACCAGATTCTGATTTAATTGGTCTGGGGTAGCCTCAATCCTGTTGAATTTCCCATGTACTGGGTCTGCATGTTGCTCCCATGGCTCTCGAGAAGGGTCGTGTCGAGGTGGGGTGATGATAAACATAGAACTGGGATGACCTTGAAATTCTAAGTGACACTCAGTTTGCCCTGGACTCAGCCTGCTGTGTGGTTTCTGGGTCTTTGTGATGTTGGAATAGTGTTAGTGGTAAATAATTTATGTCGTCTGATTGGATAGGCATTTTGTGGGGAGATGTTTATTTTATTAAGAGCTGATGAAATGACTAGTGTCCTTCGCTTGCAAGGATGGCTTCTATTAACCTGTCTTTGTGCGAGATGGTTTCCAGCAGCACGAAGGAATTGCAGCAGGGATGGTTTCCCACAGCCCTCCTGCTGCCTTGCCAGGCCCTGGCCCTTTGCTTCAGGCCATACTTTAGACGTTCTGGGGAGGAGGGGATGAGGGTATAGCTCAGGGTTAGAGTGCATGCCTAGCATGCCTGAGGTCCTGGGTTCAGCCCTCAGCACCTCCATTAAAAAATGAATAAACCTAATTACCTCTCCCCACTGAGAAAGAAGATAAAAAAAAATAAATAGAAGTTATGGGAGAAGCAGACCTGGAGTCATAAACCAGGCCTCTCTAGTCTGGAAGTATGAATATGGACTTTTCTTCCTTACACTCTAAAGTTCTAACACTTTCAAAAATGCTTTTCCAAGCTCACTTGGCTCCTCAAAATAATTCTAAGGTTCAGGCAGAAAATTGAATGAGAAAAAATTTTTTTATCATTTGAATCCTCCCAATAGTAAGTCAGGATCTGGAAGTCAACAATCCAGCCTCTATTTGGGGAACGTAGATATTGTGGCGTGTGGTCACCGGCAGCACTTCGAGTCACCATCTTCTGAGTTCTCCCCTGGGCCTTTTGCAGAGTTTCGTGCTATATCCCATGGTCTTGTACTTCTTTACAGATGAGGAGTTTGAGGTGCAGGATTGTCCAGCATCAAGCAGGTAAATGGCATAACTGGGAAGAGTACACCCCTGTTTCTTCACCACTGATTAATTCCACTCTGCAGTGCTGGCTTCTCATTTCCACAGCTAGGTGACTAGGCAGCAGGCACCGAGCACTTTGTTGGAAGAATTTGGATGTGACTGACAGAACATGATTAACATCCAGGTGCCATCTTGACAAAAAAAAAAAAAAGTCCATCTGTATTACGTGTACATTTTGATCCACATCTTTGAAAAATGGCCAGTGGTTTGATTGTTTCAAGATACAGATTAAATATGATCGACGTCAGAGTCTTCCACAAAGACTTAACACACATAAATCTGATGGTGACACTAATGAAGAAATGTTTATGATTAACAGGTGTGTCCCATCTGCTTCCATTTCTTCGTCTCATCCGTGGGCCACACAGGTCATTGCTAACACAGAATCAGGTTTTCTAGAGTACGGGACAACAGGATAAAACCCAGCTCACGAGCATCCGTTCTCACACTGCAGAGCACTTAAAACACCTCCCAGACGACGTACGGTAGGAGGGCACCGTCTGTGATGCTGTTTGTATGTACAGAACTGATGTGCATTGAACCTTGCTGAGTCTTACAGACATGGCGGTCTGTGCAAGCTGTGCTGTCACCATGGGAGACACCCAGAAGAAACGTACTTGTAAAACCATTCGGTCACCTAGATCATGACTGTATGTTTCTTGCTATTAACTTTCTGATCACTTGTGGAGCCTATATTTTGAAATATCTTAGAGTATGTTTATATATAAGATACTAAGAAGAGGAAATAGAATTTTAGATGTTCATTTTAAGACTTACATACATTATTTGCTAAGAGGCAGTTTCTGAGTTACAGATTTTTATTCAGTCATTGACCCTTTAAGCCGTGTATAATTGTATTAAAATTACTATTGTCCTTTCTTAAGTCTTTAAAATTTTACTTTCATCCTTGTGCTTGTTTCTCTTGGGAATTAATATTTATAATACATATTTCAGCTTTTCAATAGATCACCAGAGCTAGAATTGACATTTGTAAATCCCAAGATGGTCTGTACACAATCTTCTCCAAGGAATACGGGCCAGCTTGCCCTCCTCTGCATCCGGTCCAGTCTGAGGCATTTGTAGTTTCTGCCCTTCAGTGCACTTATGACACGTTGTAGAGGCTCCTCCAGTCCTTACTCATCTTACTCTGGGACTCGGTGGGCTGGGGCTGCTGTAACAAAGGTGCCAGAGGCTGGGTGGCTCCAACAACAGACATTTCTTTCTCACAGCCCTGGAGGCTGGCAGTCTGAGATCATGTTCTTGGAGGGAACCAGCTACCTGGTTTGCAGACTGCCGTCCTCCTGCTGCGTCTTTGCGGCATCCTCTGGGCCCTTCATCCTTCTGTAAGGGTTCTAATCCCACCCTGGGGGCTCTGCTCTCATGACCTAAGTCTCATTACCTCCCAAGGGCCCCACCTCCTCTACGATCACACTGGGGAGTAGGTTTCATTATATGAATTTGGGAGGGAGCGGGGTACAGACATTCAATCTACAGGACTCAGCTACCACAGCCGACTCCAAAGTTGGGAGGAAGTAAAGGTGGTTTTGCCTCCAGGACAAAGGGTGGAAGCAAGGAGGCAGTGGAGATGCCTTTTCAACAGCAGGTGGATAGCATCCTGGGTTCAATCCCCAGTACCTCCTGTAAAAATATAAATAAACTTAATTACTGCCACCCCCAGAAACAAACGAAAACACCAGAAACAAAAACAAAAATAAAACCAAAAAAAAAAAAAAAACCAAAAAACACCCCAGCAGGTAGATAGCAGCTTTGATCAAGTCAGGGACTGTCATGTGCATGATGAGTGAGTAGCGGCTGGTTAAGGAAACCTGGAAAAATCATCCTTTTTTCTCAGCAGATGTTAGAGGCCCAATTATTTGTAAATAGCTCACTTTTTAGAATCACAAAATTACATAACTTCTGAGGTTGTAACAGTCTTCAAACTAAATCCCTCATTTTGTTTATGAGAAGACAGA